GCTCTGTCACCACTCTCCTTCATACTTCGTCCGGGGAAGGCTTTAATACCGGCTTTTAATGATGGCAGTCATTTCAGATATTTTACCTCCAAAAGGAAAGAACTATAATACCTTCTGATTATAAAGGTCAATTCAGGCTTTTGTAAAAAGAGGAGGAACCTTTTTTGTATACTGCAACTCACATTGAGCTTAAAAAGGAAAAAGCCTCAAATTAGGGTTGTCACCCAGATAGTATATAATTCAGGGTTTTAGAATGCACTGGAAAATGGCATCTCTTCGATAATGACCTGGCTGGTCACTTCATGCGTCTCTCCCTCATGGTGGATCTGGGCGGTGTCAGCAGTGCCTGCTGTTGTGCTGTAATCTTGTGTACCCTGTTGTGTTGTCCTGCTCATGCAACAGCCGTGGCAGCAGCATTTTTGTTTTCACATTTGCATTTTTGTGGATGGTGCCCCTCCTAACATGTACTAGTGAGGTTCTGGGAAGCACAGGAAGCTGGGATTCTGGTGCTTGGCCTATTCACTGCCTATAATCCTGGTGTTAAAACTGTCATCTATGCAGAACTCTTTCTACCTTTCATGTATGTTGCCCAGTGATACTTGTCCATGCAGAAACAAGGGATGGGGGAAGGAGAATCAACATGCAGTGGTGTGCTGTGCTTGATGGTATTGGTACTTGATTCTATAACTATTCTTACCCACCCTATGAGGTAAGAGATGGTATTTTCATTTTATTGATGTGAACGCTGAAGTCTTAGAGGTTGTCATTTGCCCAAGGTCATGGAGTCATATCTTGTGAATGCAAAGTTCATGATTTTTTCACTACTTGCATCTTAAAATTCACAGACCATTTACCTGAGGCCAGGACCCCCTGAGCATACATCAGTCCTGGCAAAGTACAGATTCTGGTTTATTGGCCTTGGCCCCTTCAGTAACTTGTTTAGAAAGTTAAGCCATTCCGAGCTCTAAGACCTGACATCATAGAAAAAGGAAAGTTAAGCTCCACGCCTTTGTCTATCAGCACTTTCAGTGGATTGAAGGTTGTGTTTCTTTTCAACCTAAGGAAAAAAGACTTGGTATCACATTCAGCTAAACAGTTCAGGTCAACGCAACAGATAGTGACTGTCTTCTGTCTAGATGAAGACTCTTAGAACTCTGATGAGGCAAAGTAGAACTCTGGTGGGACAGAGATTGTGTCTATTTAATTTACTGTCATTTCAAATTGAGGTAGGGGTGTGTGTGTGTGTGTGTGTTTTCCTTTAACAAAATACTTTTCTAAATTGTATGCCATTTGATAGTCCAGGTCTCTTTAAGGGGGATCTTGGGGAGGATCCCAATAGAATGTTCATCAGCTTCATGAGATCTTTTCCCCTTAACTTCATCTTGTCCGTGGGTGTGGTTAGCAAATGGCACTAATTGGGTTTCTGCTATCTATCTCCCTAAGTAGGGCGATTTAAGCTATTTACCCTCTGGCTGGGGAGAAGTGTAAACCATTTACTCTTAAGTGTCCTTTCTTACAGAAGATCAGATTTTGCCATTTACTGATGGCTGTAAACTGCTTGGCTGTTTAAATTCCTATAGTTTCAGGTGTTGGTGAACTACAGCACTTAGCACATCCAGCCCGTTACTAGTTTTTTGTAAAGAGAGTTTTACTTAGGACACAGCCACACACACTGTGGCCAGCCCCGAGTACACTCATACATAGACTGAATAACCGTGTCCTCAGAACGTAATTCCAGCGAACAGCAATGCTCCTCGGTAATACTGCTTTCCCTGTTAACTGCAGTAGAGGTGCCACTAACTAGCTGGGTGACTTTGAACTGGACATCAACCTTTCTACATGAGATTCCTCATATAATTAAACACTTAAAAATTATATATCCCACCTAATAGTAGGTGCATATATAAAGTATATAAAAATACATGTTATGTATGTGTGTGTGTATTATATGTACAACTTTAAAAAGAATAATGAACATCAAATAAAGCATTAAGAAGACCCATTTTCTCACCATCCAGCTATGAAACAGAACCTTGTGAACAACTTTGAAGTTCCTTTTGTGCACCCTGATAACATTCCCCTCCTTTCCCCCAGAGGTAACTTATCTCAGTTTGGTTTAATCATCCTACTGCTTTCCTCTAGTTGTATTCAGTTTTGCCTAAAACTTTCTTTTTAAAGAAAGAACCCTTTCAAAGCCTGTCCAATTTTGCTTCATTGGTGTCACTACATTTTCTTGGTGAGAAACTCTTTTTCTCTTAAAAGTTCGTAAGGGCTATCTTTCCAGCAAACACGGTAACACACAGTGGCTGCTCAATAAATACGCCTGAAATATTCCACAGGTTTTTCTTTTCTCCTTGGTGATAAGGTGGGGACAAGGTGCATGGAACTCGTGGGCTGAATCAGACTGGTCTCCCTTCCTCAGCTGAAGTTTTGTGATTGAATAGAGTAAACCGCTAGAATAAAAGGCTGGTATCTCCAGAGGGAGCCATTCATTGTCTCCTTGTCTCTGCCCTCTTTAGATTTATCAGCTCCTACAATGGGACCGGGCAGTAGTGTAGGATGCTGCTGACCCAAGCCAGTTCATGAGAGTTGACTCGCATGTTTTCATAGTAAAAGAATAAGATAAAACCTGATTCGTAGGCCTTAAATTTAGCTTCTAGTCAATTTTAGTTTGAAGGAAAATCTCATTGTATCTAGTCTTTGTGTTTTCCTTTTTTTTTCCTCTTTATTTTGTGGCTGAAAGAAAAAGTATAAATACTGGGCTTTGGAAGAAGGAGCTGTTATTAAGCATAAGCCTTTTCAACTCTGTAATTACTCTATAAAGGCTGTGTATTTGCATCAGAAATGCATTTAGTCTTAAGTTATAGTGCCCAGCATGTGGAGCATTTATCATGTTGGGGTACTTCCAAAAATAGATCAACTCTATAGAAAATGTTAATCAGCTCATCCCCAGGGACCAGAGTGAGTATCTCCATTGTACAAATGAGGAAACGGACATGACAGTTAGTGGTTTGCCCAAAGCCACACTGTCACTGGCATTATGAAGATTTAAGCCATGAACCCACATACAAGAAAACACAGTCATATTTTCATGTAAGACACTGTAGACCTTAGTCAAATTGACCTAAATTAAGATTCAGAGACTAATAAGCCTTTTGGTGTTTGGCACGATATACCACATCAACCTCAGGAGCTGCCTTACTCCTCAAAGTTACCTGCGGGGTTTTTGGAGGAGCCTGTTTGCTTGAAATCAAAAGCTCTGTATTTGGCTAAACATTGCTACGAAAACCGAAAAGCAACTGGTTCAAGTATATTTTACACTGCCAAGAAAAACAGTGTGAGAAGGACAGTAATGTCTCAATTTGTGGCATTCTACTTTTACAGCTGACAAGCAAGAAGCCTCTACTAAGAACTTGTTTTAAAACCATTTTCAGGAGGTTGTGTCAGGGTGTGTACACAGCTTTCTAAATCATCTGCCTCAATAGGATTGCATGGGCAGGGTAAGAATTTATATCGAGGAACCACAAAGTCCTCCATTTTCAAAGAAATTTCAGGAACTTATATTGCTGTTAAGCAAAAGTTGATAGCCCAATTTATAAATATTTTCCCCAATAACTGATTGGAGTGAAAAAGTTTTTTTTTCCTTGGTTAACCTCTAATTGATTGAAAAAGTCAATTAACCATTACAGGAAATTCCTCCTTATTCTCTTCTTTTCCTTTCTTCACTAAGCTTCATTTGGGAATGAGACCCCACTTTGTCTATTGAGTAGCAAGCATTTTTAAGGCATTGTTAATCATAATAACTCTCCTATCAGAGTATTTAAGCATGGCCTCATTGGAAGATATGGTATTGACTAAGAGCGCTCACGTGTCTGTTGTGTCAACTACCAGAGTTCTTACTGTGAGGTTACATGCATACCGCATGTATAAATTTGGGCAAAGCCATTATATAATTGAAGAGAGAAAGTTCCTTAAAAAGGAAGACACCAAAGCATGCTACTGAGGGAAAGCCATACCTCACAGAGGGTTGGCGCCAGGTGCCTATCCTGAGTTTGCAGATTCCGAGATTCCATTTTGACATTTCACCTCTATTCATCAAATTTAGGGAAGACAGACCCACATTGACTGATTTTTTTTAAGTGACTGATGAACCAGAATGACAATGTATAATTATTCAGAAATTGGGCTCAGCACCCAACGTACCTACCTTTTGTAATATTGAACAAATTGTAAGGCTTTTCTAAGAGGTTTTTTTTTTCCTTGTACAATTGGAATGTTAATGTTTTATAAAGAGGTTCAGTGAACTAATGTCCTAATGCCTGGAAGATAATAGCTGTTGTTGTTATAGTGTCATTTTGGCTGTTGTCTTCATCATAACTGCAGGTCAACTTAAATAGATCAGAAAATTGCTTCTTGAGCATAACTTAGAGCACAAGAAGTCAGAAGTTCTTAAGGAACACCTCCATTGGGCTCAACAGCTGGGTGCATCGTCCGCTGACAGGATGGGTGCCCTTGTCAGAATCTGAACACCCTTTACCAAGGCAGTGCTGGATAAACTCCACTGCAGTTTTAATCTGTGGCTTATCGTTTTCTAAATTTCTTGAAGTCACCACATTTTTGAGTCTGGGAGCCTCTGATTTTATTTGGTTCTAGCTGTTTTTAGCAGTAACAAAGGAATCACTCTCATTACTTTGGGTCTGGCTTTCAAGACATCTTTTAGGGGTGACTTATTTATACAGTACATCCCCATGACTTATTTTCTACTTTCAGGATTGCTCCTGCTTCTGGTTTCACATTCATGAATTGAAATTTGCAAGAAGGTGCCTAACTAGTCCCCAGGATGTGCCAAGTGCTCCTAGGAGGCAATGCATTCCTTTGACGTGAAACAATAAGCGTGTTTCTTTTAGTTCATTAGAACACAGGGATCTTATATAAAGACCCTTCCTAACATACTTCTATTGATTTATTTATCTATTATTTTTATTTTGTCTCTGGAATAGGTATTGATATCCTGAAGCTAGTAGCAGCCCAAGTGGGAAGCCAGTGGAAGGACATCTACCAGTTTCTTTGCAATGCCAGTGAGAGGGAGGTGGCCGCTTTCTCCAATGGGTACACCGCGGACCACGAACGGGCCTATGCAGCTCTGCAGCACTGGACCATCCGGGGCCCTGAGGCCAGCCTTGCACAGTTAATTAGCGCCCTGCGCCAGCACCGGCGCAACGATGTCGTGGAGAAGATTCGTGGACTGATGGAGGATACAGCCCAGGTAATGTAATCCGAGTCTTCTGTCTTTCCTTCTGACCTTTTGGTTCCTGTGCTTCAAATTTTGCCAGGTATATGTAATAAGGAAACATAACTGATGTTAGCTATTTAGGTATACATGTATGCACACACACACACCCACCTTCAGGGGCATTCATTCTCTGTGGGTGTTCGTGAGAATCATCTAGACATCTTTTTAAAAATTCTAGTATGTTGCCTCACTGTAGACCAATCAAGTCATAGTCTCTGGGGGACTAGGAATCAGTATTTTTCCAAGCTCTCCAAGTGATTCTAATGTGCAAAGCTAAGAATCATTGTTTTCGGGGGAGGCTCTAACATCAGACTGTGCAGCCTGATCTATCCTTGTGAACAAGAAGGAAGACTTTTTTCTAGACCCTCTCTGCGCCCCAGGATGTTTTCTGAGATGTGGCTTAGGAAGGCTCCACCTTAGCTCTGGAGCATGGCGGTGGTGCTGGCAGCAGCCAGTAACAGGATTCAGCCTCCTCCTTGGGCTTGTTCCATCTCTACATCGGATGGGAATAGAGGGGACCTAGGAGTGTGATTTATTTATAGTCTTTGGTCAAGGAACTTTCTGAGGAACAGTCTCAATATATGTGGCTCACAACTAAAACTGGGCTTCGTGTAGCTGGATTTGTAGAAAGGAGAAGTAGGTGTTTAATGTCCAATTAAACAAAATGGCCATGGTTTGAAGGGCGGGAGTCCAGAGGCAAATGTTACTTGGAGCGTCTGCTTTAAGGAAAGGACTGGCCGGGCAACTAGCAGACTTGAAGAAGGATTTTTAGATGCTTGAGGATAAGTCACTAGATCTCCTTCATGACACCTACAAGAAAGATAAAACATGGTGGATACCATGTTAAGATTGGTTAAGTGCCATATTTAAAAAGGTGGAAAGATGACTGTGATATATTGTTAAGGGAATAGAATGTTACTGAACTGCATTTCGTATTTCTCATTAGAAAAAGCAAATGTGGGCATGGGAAAATACAGACATAAGAAAATGAAAATGCAAAAATGTTGTTATTAAATCTGGATGGTAGATGTAGAAGTGATTTTCTTCTGTTCAAATCATTTTCTATAATAAAAATACTACCTTTGTGATTTAAGTATTTTTTAGAATGACAGAACTGAAAGGGCACAAGAAAAAAGATAGAGAGGGCTTGCTTCACAGTGCTAAATCAAGAGAGTTACCATCCTTATTTTAATTTAGGCAGAGCGCTGAATTATGTGACAATCCATTCTTCCTTATTTGGACTGCAAGAGGTTTTCGATGTTTGGTCAGATTTGCCAAAAATTTACTAAAACTTGATTTTTTGTTTCTGTGAATCCATTTCATTTCTCTGTTTACAGTCATCAAGCTCTTAGAATTTGGACCTAGTGTTTGGGGTACTTGTTATTGGTATTGACTATAACAAATGCCTTTTTTAATGTTTCTCTGATGGTTCCATTAAGTTCCATAAAAGTTTATTGAGCAAGTACTTTATTTCAGCACCTATAATCCGTGCTGGGTACAGTGGGCCCATTCTCCATGGAGGAGAGTGATTTATAACAAAAACCACTGAGTCAGTGAACCAGAAACACATTTAGCCCCAAGTGCCAGACTCTTGTACCTTTCGGTTCTTTCCTTGCTCTGTCTCCGCTAATTGAAAAAAAAAAAAAATTCTACTATTTTTCGTTATTTATTTTCTACAGAACAATGGCATAAAGACATCGTACAGCTTTTTCTTTGGTGCTAGTGTAGCCTGCATGTTACGATGGATGCTGAGAAGGCAATATTAAGTTATTATTTTATGTTTTAATAATGCCCATCACTGTCTAGCAACACTCTAGACCCAACTTGGGCTCTAAATTAATAGCCAACAAGCATGGATTTCTGGCTGCCAGATCTTACTGCACAGTATGTGACTGTATGTTCATAGTTTATGCCTGAGATTTGTCGAGTCAAACAAGAGAATCAGAACGCAGGGGGCATAATTGAGACTGATTCTTCCCATCTTATGATGGATGTGTATTCTTTGTGTATTGTGGTACTGCCTCAGGAGCTAATGGACTCTTAATATGTAAAAATGATTGTGTGTGTGTGTGTGTGTGTGTGTTTAAAAATGGTTAACGTTTCCTCCTATTCATGAGCTTGAAAGTACCTATGTTATATTCCACTCAAAGGATTAGCCCCAGTGTGCTTTTCAGTGACCTCTGTCAAGAACAGCTGGTCCATTATTAACCATGGAAGCCTATTAGCCATTTTTAAATTAAACACATTCAGAGTCTGATCTTTTCTTAATAAAATTTTTTTAGTACTTAAAAAATTATACAATAAAAATCACTTTTTGGTGTACTGTTCTTTGAGTTCTTTTTTTTTAAAGACTTTTTTGAGCAGTTTTAGGTTTAAAACAAAATTGGGAGGGAGGTACAGAGATTTCCCACATGCCCCTGGCTTGCACACATCCATACTGTCCTCCATTATCAATATCACTCACCAGAACGGCATATCTTTTACCAAGGATGAACCTATATTGACACATCATAGTCATCCAAAATCCATAGTTTACCTTAGGGTTTACTCTTCGTGTTATATACTTTGTGGGTTTGGACAAATGTATAATGACACCTATTCATCATTATAATCGTACAGAATATTTTTACTGCCCTAATAATCTTCTGTGCTCTATTTATGTCCATCCCCCTACTGCACTGCTGGCAACCACTAATCACTTCATTGTCTCCATAGTTTTTGCCTTTTTCAGAAAAGTCCTGTAGTTGGAATCTGGCTTCTTACAGTGCCTCCATGTCTTTTCATTAATTGATAGCTCATTTGTTTTTAGCGCTGCATATTATTTCCTTGTCTGGATGTACCACCCTTAATCCACGCATCCACTCTATCTTAGGTGTGAGCGGTATTTTTCAGTACTCTCTTCTTTCAACATCTAAACTGAATCCAGCCTCCCAGAATTATGTCTCTTCTTCCCTTCCAGGGCATGAACATTGGGAAGGAGCAGCAGAGCAGAGGGGACAGTAGTTGGAGGTCACTGGGACTTGGCCAAAGCTATTTAAAAATCAAAATGAAACAAAAACCTAATACAACATTCCAAATTGTATATTATCTCTTTCTCTATCATTTTACTTAGATTTTTTTTCTGTAGATTTATTTAAAGAAAGTCTTTTGTAAGTAGCATATATTTAAGGCTTTAAAAAAAATCTAATCTGACAGTTTTTGTTATTTAATTAGGGAATTTCAGCGTGGTTACATTTTTAATGTAAGTACTCATATATTTGGGTTTAAATCTACTTTCTCTACGCCCCTATTGTTTGTTTTGTATTTGTCCTGCTGCCCTCTTTTTCCCCCTCTCCTTTTAAAAAGGGCTTTATTTATTTATTTTTAGAGAAAAGGGAAGAGAGGGAGAAAGAGGGAGAGAAACATCGATATGAGAAAAACCTGTAGGCTGTCCCTTGTATGCACCCCGATGGGGACCAAACCCACAACCCAGGCATGTGCCCTGACCTTTCGCTTTGTGGGACGATGCCCAACGCGCTGAGCCACACTGGTCAGGGCTGTCTCATTTCTTGCCTTCTTTTGGCTTAATCAAGTATTTTTTTATTACTCTACTTTTTCTCTTCTGTTAGCTTATTTGTTATACATTTTCAACTCTTAGTGAATACCATGGAGAGTGCAACATACTTCACTTATGAGAGGCATTTTATAAATGTGCACTTTTTACCGTTTTCAAACAATACGAGAGCCTCAGAAGACTTTAGTCCTGTTTAGTCTTCTCTTGAATTATTTTTTGTTGATGTTGCCATGAATTTTAATACTTCACTTCTCTTAACCCCCAAAAGGCATAATTATTGTGGTTTCATATAGTCAGGATTCACGTTGATTTACCCGTAGATATTTTCTGCTCTTCATCTTTTCTCCTGTAACTTCAACTTCTGTCTGAGATCATTTTTCTTTGGCCTAAAGAATATTTCCTGTAGGTTTCCAGCAACAAGCTCTGTTTTTCTTTGTCTGGAAAATGCCCACTAAATCAATAAATTGCATTATTTACCCTCTGACTCTGAAGGATAGATGGAAAATAGAATTTAAGCTTGACAGTTACTTTCCTTCAGTCCTTACATGCCTGGGTTTACGTTTCTCCTGCTGAACAGCAAAGGAGATGATGTGATTTTATTTTTAAATCTATATTACATAACAAATAATGTGTGCAGTATTATAACAGGCACTTGGGGCGATGCAAAGATTGAATAAGTAAGACAAGGCCAGTGCCCTCAAGGCAGCTGACAGTGGAATGGAAGGAACTTACACATATAGTTTAAGGGGGGTAAATCCACCAGCGTAAGAAGAGGGGAGTACTAGATATGCAACTAATCAGCCATTAAAGCTACAAATGGAATATAAGGGTGGCAGTGTGTGCCAAGTTAAATTCCTGTCCTGACAGCATCTCACTTTGGGGCTGTTAAGGTAAATTACTTGGCGTGTCTGACTCAGTTTTTTTCCTGAGAAAATGGGAACACCATTAAGTGCTTGCCCTGTGAGCTGTGAGAATCTGGTATGACCCACAGTCAGCACTTAGTGACTATGTACTATTAATAGCTGCAGTTTATTCCCAGGCTCTAGAGGTAAGAGAGATGGAAGAATGTTTCTAACTAGCTCCAACTCATACACATAATAGATCCTTTAAATCCTGAGCACTAGGGGTTACTTAGTGTGGGGTTGGGAGCTACTCCCAATTCCAAGACTGCTTAGATTGTTGAGCACAAGGGTTGCTATCTGGGTTCGATGCCCAAGAACTGGAAATTCCAGCTAATTGTAAATATTTATTCCTTATTGCCTGAGTGAATGTTCCTATGCTGGCAGGGATGTTTTCCCTAGTGAAGAAACAAAGGTGATGGTATGTATAAAGATAACAGCGGGTTCTTTCAATAGCTGTCAAAAAAAGGGGAAACAAAATTGAGCAACTGAATTTCTATGTTTCCTTTTATGCTTCCCTT